GTGTGTGTGTGTGTGTGTGTGTGTGTGTGTGTGTGTGTGTGTGTGTGTGTGTGTGTGTTGGATTTGTTTGTATTAACGCGTGTGTGTTAAATGAGCAATGTTGGATAATTCTACGTACGATATCTTCGCAAAGCCAAAGTCTGTTGATTGCCTAGTAGTAGAAACTCCCATCCCTTTTCTCTCTCAAGTGCACGTAATTCCTCGACGCTCGTGTCTCTATGTCTTTGTCGCAAAATACATGTGGAAAGTCTCGGCGGTATAGAGGGTAATGTTACAGACGACGGTAGTTTATGCCCGTGAAGGTTGCGAGTGTATATAGCGCGTTCGACACCGGTGGGGTTGATATGTCTTTGTGTGTTGGTGCCTACAGCAACCATCCTGCAGTGGCGTCTTGTCGACCGTCTAGCATTGCAAAATTTTCCTCTGATTCTCTCTACTCTCCTCTCTTTCCTTTCCCTCTCTTCGAGCCTCTCAATCTCATCATCCTCGTCTATCCGTCCCTCTCAAGCTCGCCTCCTCGCTTCCATCGTCGAGCAACGAACATAGCGGAGCGCACGAGTTCGTGCGGGTGGTGTTATAGATGCTGGTGTTAGCTTATGTTGGCCCGTGTGGTAGCAGATATATAGTAGACATCCGTAGCGCGTGCTGGTGCGTACGTGATGTCGCGTGGGCGTGATGTGTGTGCGACACGAACGATGACAACGACGTTAGTGGTAGAGTAGCAGGGTGCGCGCACGCGCGCGCGAACGCGCGCGAACGCGCGGCAGCTATAGTGGGTATCCTGGCGTCTTGTTGGCCGCTCGGCTGATCAATACCCATCCAACCCTCTGCCTGCGCCCTATGCCCACGGGGCCGTGGACCGTACCTACACCTCTAACCACCCCTGAACTCGGATACTACCACCGCTACTGCCACCGTTACCGCCGCCACTACCACCACCACTATCACTTCCACCACTGTCGACTCTGATACCACCACCGACGCAGCTGTCACCCCTATTCCACCAATAGTGATAGCGGCTGCGGCAGTAGCGGCGCCCTTGCTCCTACCCTGCTGGCCCCTACCGACACGCCGTTGACCCCTACGCAATTTACATCGCGGCCTCCATAAAGTTAATTGAAATTTCCGCCCGCTGCAACCCTCCGGCCGACGCCACTGCTTCGCTGCTGCTGGAGTAGCGGTCCTCCTGTTGTTGGCTATTTCGTGGTTTACACATTGTCCATTGACTACTACGGATTCTTGAATAGCTTACTGTATTAAGAAGTACGATATCATTTCACTGAATGAAATATCGCTCGAGTATAAATTGAATCTTGAATGTCAAATTTCCAAAAGTTGAGAAATTTTTTAGTAACATTCAGAAAATTCTTGCAAAAAATATTTGTTAATATTTAAAAAAATACGTAAAAAGGGCGTTATGATTTAAAACAATTTATTAAATCTATCTTTTAGTCAATAAAATTAATTAAAACTTATCTCGGCAGTTCTCAACTTACATCAACAAGCTCTCATTATTATAATAGTAGCCGTAGAACAAATCGAGTAGCAGGGATATCATTTTTCTCTACAGGCAATCTGGCGAAGCGTCGATTGTCACTCTAGACATAATGAATGGTTAATCGTATCTTGGCTACAATCGGAAACACGTCACTTCAGATCCTATACGCACTTCATGCAATTTGAGGCAAGATGTTTTGAAGCTCTGCGAGCAGGCCGGATAAACACGCAATATAGAGTAGCAGGAAGAACGGATGGTGGGTGCGTGTGCGCCAAAAGGTAGAGCCAAGTTTTGTGGCAGGTGCCGATATAACAGTGGCACGCGCACGCTCCTTCACACCGGTACACTCTCTCTTTCTTTCTTTATTCTTCTCTCTCTCTCCTTTCTATCCCTTTCCTTCTCTTCTCAGGCGTCTTTCTTCTCTCTATGACTCTCCTTTCCCTCCTTTCCCTGTATCTTCCTCCATCTCCTCTACCAACGCGACCGCCACGGTCGCCCTCAGATTCCTCCCGCCCCCTCCCGACTCGTTTCACCTACGTCGTCCTCGTTGTTCTCGTTTTGACTCACCTCACCGCTTCTTTTTCTTTTCCACTGGTTCCACATCTCCTTCTTCCTCTCCTCTCCTACGCTGTTTCCCCGCTTTTTCTCTCCTTTTTGTTTCCTCTCGTTCTCTCTCTCCCTCTCTTTTTCTGCTACTCTTCTTCCGCGCTTTTTCCTCAGCGGCTGCATCAGCCCCGATCTCAGATGCTTGACTCGTTGAGACAGGTGCCGCTGACTATTATGACCACCTTATATCCCCGAGTCACCACCGACACCAACACATAGTCGTCCCATACCGTCCATCCATCGATGACCACACACGCCACATTGTCGCGGTCCTCTCAGTTTATTTGTGCCCGGCATCTGAAAGGGGAACAGGTGGCCTCTGAGACAGAGGAATCGGGTGGACAAGACAAGAACGTGTGGGCAATGCATGTACGGGCGCGCCATGTGTAAGCGTCACGGTGAGGAGTCACTCGTTTTCACGACCGACTGAGGATTCTCTACCTGTAAGAGAAGCGCAGAAATCCAAAATGTAGCGTTGGATAATAAGGATAGAACGATGTTTCACATTTGCTGTCGGATAACATGCGACAATCGATATCGCAGTTAATCATTACGGATTACAATATCATCTGTATTAAGCTATCATGCTCGGAATATCCTAATTGCATAAAGTATTACAAGATCACATAATTCTATTATAAAACTACTTTTCTAATCCTGTAATCGTTGAATTATATCAGTCAGTAAAATTGTCATTTGAATGAAAAAGAAGTCAACGGCAGAATATCACTATTATTCTTATGCATTTTTACATAACGTGGTTGATTACCCGTGGAAAACTGTGGGCGTTGTCTTACGACAGCGCGAAGGAAACGAATGACTTTCTCCGCGGTAACAATTGACTCGTGAGACTTTTTTTTTATCTTCAATATAATCGATGTCTTTCGGGCGTCGTGGCGCCCGATAATAAGTAGGCGGCGTGTATTGTGTCGGTCGTGTGCCGCGGCGTGGCATGGCGTGGCGCGGAGCGGCGCGGCACACAACGTGGCGTGGCACGGTGAAATTTTGTGAGAGCGTGTGTAACGCCCATCTGTTAAAACCGCCGAATCTGTGTGCACACACGTGTCCGCACAGGAGCGAGAAGAAAGTGCATTCGCGGTTGCACCGGTTGTTGCACAGCGCTGCTCCACAAAACCACGGCCTACCACAGGCGCAAACGAATCGAAAGTCGAATCGTTCATCGACATAAAGCTAGCGGGCAACTTTGTCGCGGTATTTAATGAATTCTGCACGGCGAATTAGGTGGAACTTTATGGAAATTCTGCCCGGGGTGCCTATATACTTTCGCTGCGAACATTCTAATTCTGAGCAATTCAATTAGGAAATAGGTACAAACGACTCATCGAACGCTTCGGTGAAGTTGGCAGAGATTAGTTGGAAAGAATTATAAAGCCCTTTAAATTTACAAATATTTAATTTTAATGTAGAAAAATTAATAAAACTTTTAACATTTAATTTATATTAAATATAAATCTTCACTGTGTTTAAAATAATAATTTAAAAATGATTTTATAAGTACACACAAGGAAAATTATGTACCATATTTTATATGTGAATTATATTAAATTGTTTCTTCAAAAAATTTAGTAAATATATTATAATATTATATACTAAAAATAATGAAGAAGGAAATGTGTGTGTGTGTGTGTGTGTGTGTGTGTGTGTGTGTGTGTAGTTTAACACAAACCAAGGTTTCAAAAACTTTTTTTTCGTTTTAAAATGATCTACATATGAAATATCACAAGCGCAATAAACATTTCGGGTAATGCAAAAGTATGTTGCAATCGTTCCCGCGTGTAGCGTTACGTTTATCCCCATGACACCAATATAAACTAAACGCGTTATAATTTTAATATAATTAGAAGTTGGATTACTGCATTTGATATAAGCTTCGTATTGTATATCCAAGATACTTTGATGAAATCATTATATTGAAGTATCATTTATTGATTTATGCTTTCTCCATTATACCAGAAAATTTTCTTCTTCTTTAACGCCCTTGAAAAGATGAAACTCATATAAGGCCAATATAAATTCTTATTTACATATTACACTTACACTAAAAAATATTGAAGCCATGTATCATCTGCAGAATCACGAGTACTAAGATTATTGTTGTAATTCTCCGGAATAAATTTCAGTCTCTCTGATAAAAACAACCGAAAATAATTGTAATTCAAACTATGTAATATTATAAAATCAAGGATCAAGAAACATGAACAAAATTACAGTTAGTAATTACAGTTCGTCATCATTATGTTACACCAAATTATGTAACAATTATGCTTTCATTATTACTACTTGTTCGATAATTATGTATACATGCAAATACTAATTTGTTATACTAAAAACTTTATAATAAAAACTTTATACCAACTTTGATCTCAAAAATTACTTTTTTGAAACTTTAACTTACGAAGATTTTTGCTTTTCTTTACTTTCAAATTTCTTTACTTTTTTAATTAGTTTTGATACTTTTAGCTTGATAATTTTTAAACGAACCTGTCGTTCATTTAATAAATTCTACGAATTCAATAAAATCAATAAATTGTATTTCACTATGAAGGAACCATATGTAATCGATCTTCTAACAAAAATCGTTAATAAGTTTATTAAAATATTGTGCAAGCGCGATTCTCACATACTGTCGAAAAGTTCGCTCTTTGTTATTCTCTGAATTTCATGCTTAAGCAAAATTTTATCCTACAGACCGCATGTATGACACACGTAACATCCCTACGCATTTTTACATACTTCTCATTTTTCGTACGAAATTCGTGTCGCTGGCGCTCACACTACCACCGTGCGACGTATGTGTAAGTACGTATCGTAGGGAGCAGGCAGCAACGCGAATGGAACATCAGGGTGAGTACCTTTGTCCTCCTCCACCGCGTCAGAGGAGGTACGGGGTGTAGGATCCCTATTGATCTCCTCACAGAGCTCGAGCCAGTAGCAGAGAGTTCAGGGAGGAAAGGGGAGAAGGAAGAGGTGAGGGGAGAAGGGGTGGCACAGAGATAGGGAGCAATGAGCGAAAGAGACTGACGGCGAGGGTAAGAGTGGGAGGGAGGAAGACGGTGATTCCGGAGAGGATTGAGATAGAGAGAGAGAGAGGGCGGGAGGGAGGAGGGATGAGAGAGAGAGAGTGAGTGGAGAGAACTATGGATGGACCTCAGCTGGGCGCAGCGCAGCTGAGGGGGTGGCCGCGTTGTCATGCGCTGACTTGACACGTCATTAATGTATTACAGGATAATGACAACAAACCGATATCCTACTCTAGCCGAAACTCCTGCCCCTACCGCACCTTCCCCTCCTTTCCTATCGTCCTCCCTCCC